CGATAAAAAGTGATTTAAAAGAATGATTAGTTTCGGTAATTCATTGCTAACTTCCATTGATTATAATATTTTTTCGGAAAATTCGAATAATTTTTATAAATGTCAATATTTAAATATACTAGAAAGTTATTTTCCATCTTCTCTAGATCGACTTTTGCAACATTATATATATAAAAAAAGCATAAATTTTCATTTAAAACAAGATAAATGTTCGTATTTTCACTATTACTCATATATTTTCTCAATTTTTTGTGTATCGCATTTGTTCGTGGTATATCACATGCATGATATTCATTATTTCTAATTGAAGTCATGAAGCCAATAGCGAAATTTGGTTTTCAAAATGGCAGTTTTCCAGAACGCCCTTCTTATAATTTTTAATCATATTTTTAATTTATTTATTTTATACTAATAAACACTAATTATATTGCTGAATATTGTTTTATATTTATGGAATAACTTTAAATGCGATGATTAAAGAGTTAATTTATATTAAGTTTACTTGGAAAGATTGTGGAAATGCTCCTTAAATTTTATTTAATAAAGTAATTAGATAAACTTGAAATATATTTTAACAACTTTATGAATTTCCTAATGCAATGTTTTAAAGAAAAAGTAATAATTTTGGTAGTTTACTAATGCAAACTTCCATCAATGCATCAGCATCGGCATCAACACAAGTCTGACGTTTATCTTCTATTAGTTCCTTCTCCGACGATAAGAAAAGAAACTAAATCTATATTATATATTTATTTATATATATATATAATTATGAACAAAGAATATTCTATTATCATATACAGGTAACCCCCGTATCACACGGCACTTCTGTAGCACGGATTCACTCTAACACAGTTCGAGAATTGGTACCATCCCCCGTATAACACGGTACTTTTATAGCACGGATTCACTCTGGCACGGTTCGAGAATTGGGTAAAAGCCTCGTACAACAGGAAATGTAATAAATTTTTACATACTTAAGTAATAATAGTTCACGAAAATTATT